AGACCAAGTTGTGAGAGTATGGGCTGTGATAACGACGCATGAGGAACGGCGTCGTCACGAAGAGGAGGAAAACGCAAACGGGGCCAGTGGAGAAAGGTTGAGTGCACCTGTCTTTCGAAGCAAGCCGATTCACGAGTTCCGAGGGCATACCGGCGAAGTACTAGACCTCAGTTGGAGCAAGAACAACTTTCTGTTGTCGTCGTCGATGGATAAGACTGTTCGTCTATGGCACATCAGCCGGAAAGAATGTCTCTGCACGTTCAAACACAAGGACTTTGTCACGTCAATAGCGTTCCATCCTACTGACGACCGGTTTTTCCTTGCGGGGTCCCTCGACTCGACACTGCGTCTCTGGAGTATTCCGGACAAAGCTGTAGCTTACTCTACCCAATTGTCTGATCTCATCACGGCTGTGGCGTTTTCGCCTGACGGGAAGACTGCAATAGCTGGAGGGCTCTCTGGCATGTGCATGTTCCACGACACGGAGGGCCTCAAACAGAACTCTCAGTTGCATGTGCGATCATCGAGAGGCAAGAATGCCAAGGGCAGCAAGATTACTGGTATCAAGACGATGGTCATTGACGACGAAGTTAAGGTTTTGATCACATCCAACGACTCAAGAGTACGCATCTATAATTTGCGCGACAAGAGCCTGGATTCCAAGTTCAAGGGCTACGAAAATACTTGCAGTCAAATTCACGCCGACTTCAGCGACAACGGACAGTGGATAGTGTCTGGCAGCGAAGACAAGAGAACGTATATCTGGTCTGTGCATTCCGCAGAATCAGACAAGGAGAAGCCTTGCGAATACTTTGATGCCCACTCAGATCGAGTTTCAACAGCAATATTCGCTCCGACCAAATCGCGCCAGCTCCTTGGTGGCTCGGGAGATCCTCTTTACGACCTCTGTAACCCTCCCCCAGTCACTCTGATGAGTCTCGAGGAGTCCATTGCCAGCCAAGCAGGTAACTCGGACGACGAAAAGCCTCAGATCAAGCAGCAGAAGATCAAAAGGCCGGAAGAATCGCCCGCTTACATCGAGAAGTCGAAACACTTTGATGGGCAAATTCTTGTCACCACGGACCAATCTGGGGGCATCAAGGTCTTCCGCCAGGACTGTGCATACATCAAACGCCGCCATGAGAACTGGGAAACGGGTTCAACTTTCTCCCGCCGCATGGGAGGAAGCATTGTTGGACGCAGCGGAAGTGTAGCAACGCGCACAAGTGTCGGTAGCCAATCGCGCTCACGCCGGGGCTCGGTTTCCCGCCTGGCAGCCCCTGGTGGTGCTCAGCTGAGCTCCGATATCAATACGTGGCGGCATGGAATCGAAAGTGGGCGCCCGAGCTCCATGATCATTACAGCATCTCAAAGCCCCCGGTCTCTATCGCCTAACAAGACGTCACGGACGCCAATTAACAACAGTGCCTCCAACCTGGCATCAGAAGCGCGAAAACAACCATACAGTGGATCATCACCACCGGCACGTCCGCAACTCCCAGCTAGTCCCACATCGAGCCGGGCTTCCCGCGATCGGGCTCCGTCCATTCCTCCGACCCCGAGTTTCTCTTTCCTATCCGCCGATGACGACGAAAGCGACGAGCTTCGACTTGATCCTGCGGGCGCCAGCTATTCTTTCTGGAATCTCAATCGATGGCGTGGGATCTCATCCTTGCGATCGTCGGTGTCGTTCAGTAACGTGAATACATCGCAATCGCAGGTTGGCCAAGGGCGAAATAGCATGAGCACAGCAGACACGATGCAAACGTCGGCTAGTAATGGAACCAAAGCCTCCCGCCGCAAGAGCTTAGGTGCGGGCATATACGACTTGGCCGTGCAAGAAGAGCACAAAGGCACAACGAAGAGCATTGAGGCTGCTGCTGATAAAGCTGAGGTAGATGAACATTTACTACAGCCAGATAATTCGCGAGTTGGGAATCGTCTTCGGAACTCGGTTGTCAGCCGTCTAAGCTCCGAGTATACCAGCGAAGATGGCGAACAAATGACTTGTCAAAAATGTGCGAGCAAGGATTTCAAACCGAAGAGAGTTGGTGGCAGACAACGTCTGATCTGCGTCAAGTGTGGTAAGCTTGCCGATGACGGCAGGTAGGAACGAACAGGCAGAGACATGCGCGGAGTTCTGTCTGAGGACAGAAGTTTCTTGGGGTTTGAATTCAATTTTACATTTTCTTTTCGACAGCGATGGATTTGACCGCTTAGGTACGATACGACGAGGCGCATCTATCATGATCAAGAACAACAGATACCCCACACAACAACGGCTGCAAAGAAATGATCGAGGACGACGGCATATATCTCCATTTCTTGTATTATTATTTTCATACATACAGACCAAAGAGTCAAAGGATATCGGTTGGGCAGCATTTTCTGGGTGGTCAAATAAAGCAACAAAGCGGCGCAAATGAGGAATCAGGGGCATGAAAAGTTTGGAGAATTAATACAATGAAACAATTTTGATGTTTTTCTGCCACGCTACGGCCAAAAATTCAACCCGTCCTCCGACTCCCATGTGCATAGCGGCGCGACAGCCGCAGTGTGATACTCTGCTTGAAATGATGAGAAACGCGACGGCGGCAATCACCCCCTCAAGGACATTTTCCAGTCCGACCTCGGGCCCGTATTGCCGCCGAGGGTGTAGCCGCCAGAGACAGTGGAACCATCATCAGGCTTGACGTTCTTCTCGGCGGCTGCGGCAGCTTCCTTCTTCTTCCTCTCGGCCTCGGCCTTCTGTGCAGCCGCCTCGGCGGCTTTCTTCTTGGCCAGCCCACCCAGCTCCTGGACGGTGGTCTGCAGGCTCCTGGGATCGGCGCCGCGGATGACGCTCCGTCCGCCGTTGTAGGGCTGACCGTTTTCAAAGAACATGAAGGTCGGCATCGCCGTCACGCCATAGCGTCGGGCGATATCTTGGGCGGAGTCGACGTTTACTTTTACAAACACGAGGGAGCCTGGCTGGCCGTGAGTGTTTGAGAGGGATTCGTATATCGGTTTGATGGCGTGGCATGGGCCGCACCAGTCTGCGTAGAAATCGGCAACGAGGTATGTGTTTGATGAGAGGAGGTTTGTGAACTCTGTGAGCGTTGTGGCGTGGAGGACGACCATTTTGGCGGCTAAGAGATGTGAGTTTTTGGTGTTGCGGAATGAGATAATAGTTGGATGTCGCTGTGTATAGTAGAGTAATTGAGATGAAGTCGTCGGCAGATCCGTGGTGTTTTCTCTTCGTTCTCACGCGGTTATTATATAGTGGGGATGCGGCAGCCTGGCTTATGAGAAAGGCTCACTTGAACTTGCCAGAGTGAGGGCGCGGGTGAGAACAAGAGTGAGTGTAAGTGTGAGTGTGAGTGTGAATGAGTGTGAGTGAGGGCATTCGTCAGCGACGGCAGTGATCTCGTCAGCTTCTCTTTCCAGCGGTAAGTGTGGGGTCGGCGACCGAGGAACCTTCCAGGTGCTCCGGAGCACAGTCGAGGGAACACTAAATCTTGGTCATTGGCTGCGCCCCGCGCTGTCCTCTTCAACTAAAACACTCGAAAACTCCACACCCGTCGCTGCAAGCAATGGAAGTTGTCACTATCACATCTCTTACGCCTTACGCACACTACTTTACACCTGGCACGTTGCCAATTGGATCGACCTTTGGGTTCTCCTAGGGCGGCCTGCTGCATGTACTCCAGATCGCTGTCCCATCTGTCTAGCAATGCAGGCCGCCGGATCGGTGTCTTCTGCATGGTTCCCGAGTCACTGGATCCTCATGACTTGCTGTTTTCTCCAACTGACGTTTCGTTATCATTGCTGACCACTCCAACAGTCAAAGGGCTTTAATGCATGTGAGCAATTTCTATGGGTATAGTTCCTGTTATCAGAATGCTGAAAACATTCTTCATCTTGTTTCTTGCGCTTCGTTGCTATCTAACCCATCGTTCTTACTCAACACCACCGTACCTTATGGTCTCGCCATGCTCCATATGCTACCTTCGACCTCCCTGTCATTAAAGCTTCAGACTTCATGAGTTCTGACATTTTGACGCTCTTTTGCGCGAGGTTACTTCGCCTTAGTGCGGACCCTTCCGGGGTAAAGGGCACCAAGTTCTACCGTCTTACACCTCTTCCACCAGCAAGCGTTCACAGTGTCGGGTCAAGTTGAAACTCGTGTCTTGGCATTCCGTGTATATGTGAGGGGAACTCACGATCTCGCGAAACGCTGGCTGGCCATCGTCGAGTGACGGCAACACACGATCCCTAAAGGACTACCAACACCCTCGGCTCTCAGAATAGAATGTTTGTCTGCCCTCGGCGGCTCTTTTGGACAAAGTGTCTAGGATCATCGAGCCCATTAACCAACAACCCCTCACTCACCCTTTGACGTTGCGTCAGATGACCCCATCAGGTGTCTTGCAAAGTCACAATCCCCCCAGCCCTCAAAGCGCCCGTCGCCCCCTTACTCCCAACTCGATCCACGGCTCTCGCCGCCCCTCCAAGTTGGTCTTTCACACCTTCACGGCCGTGACCGGCGCCTAGTTCAGCGCGAAAGGCTCAGGGGACAGGTACCATGTTTCTCTCCAGGGATGTCGGGGATATCTCATGTGGTGTCGGCCATCTTGGGTCTAGTCTTGTCCTGACCCTGCCGACTCTCTGACCTTATCGAGTTGATCTTGCCCTAGAAGACCAGGCTGCCTCCAGAAAGCTCGAAGCGCCTTGGGCTGACAGCCAACCCTCATTCAGGAACAAGTAAGATGCGTACATTCTAGCCTGATATGGCCCCCACCCTCCTCTGTTCGACGTTGAGTTGAGCCTCAGGGGTATGAACTCTCCTTGTCGTGATATTTTGGGATCGCCAGGAACCATTCTTGCATAGCACTGAGCGCTAGCCATGAGCGTCTCGCCGGACGAGGAACTGGCATCGATTGGTGTTAGCCTGTGGCTGGCTTCCCTTGGCTCACCTTCGAAGCAACTACAAGGTATTGTATCTCAAGTCTCGGGAGCGGTATGTTTCACGTCGAGTGAAAGGGTCGCCCAGGTGGCGATGTTGACAAGAGGGCCGTTGGATAGGCCGCGGTCTCGATGAAGTTGGCGTCTATGAGTCGTACCAAGCTCATTCGCAAGCTCAATGATCGATGGACATGTTCAAACTCGCTGAAGGCCGGGTGAATCTCATCTAGTATTCACTTGAGAAGTAGAATATAAGACATGTTCCCGTGTTTCTCAAGTGAGGACTCGTAGATAGCAAGCATTTCCTTTTTCTTGAACCAACCCCCAAGCTCCAATATAGTCTTTAGATACAACCTCTTCCAAAATGGCCATTTACCAGGCCCTCAACTTTGGCTTCGAGCTTGAGCTATCTCTCAATAGCAGCAAGAAGCACAAAAATTGGCTATCCATGGCCCAAGACACCAGCAGTCGCTTGGCCAAGAAAGGTGTCAGCAATCATGTCAAGGAAAAGGTGGATGGGAACTACCGCAAATGGTCCATTGTCCAGGAGATCACGATCCCTCAGAATCCTGCCAAGAACAACTGTCAGTATATCAAGCCACGCAACAAATGCTGAATTCTGATGCTGAGCCGACTCAGGGGCACTTGAGCTAGTTTCTCCCGTCTTTAGCCTCGAGTCCCAGTGGTTGTCCGATGCAGACAACATCTTTTCTGCTGTCCAGAAGCACTCGTCCGTTCAGATGCTTCCCCAGTGCAGCACTCACGTACACGTCAGCCAGGCAGATCAGGAGTTCTCGTCTTTCCAACTGGCCTCTTTGGGCAAGGCAATCATGACATATGAAGCTTGCTTCGATGCCCTCGTACCGAAGGACAGAGCTGCCGCCTACTGGTGCCAGAGCAACCGCCGGAACCCGGTGCTATCTCGTTGCCAGACCCTCGAAGACTGTCTCGACACTCTCGATATTGCGGCTCAACGAGGGACTACTGCCGTCGTTGAAGCGATGTGCCTCTTTCCGGCATCCAGTGCGTATGGAAGAGCACATGGGAGAAAGAGAGATTTCGTTCACGGCAAAGTCTACAAGTGGAACTTTGCCCGCTTGCTAGGGCACGACAGCAGCCGCACTATTGAGTTTCGACAGCCTTCGGGCAGTACTTGTATGGAAGATGCCATTGGCTGGGTTCTGTTGACACTGACGTTCGTTGCTGGTGCAACTGGAGGCGGCAACTGTATCGGCTCGTTAGAGAGTGGCGGTGATGACCGGTTGGAATTTTGGCAGCTTTTGTGTCATGGCGCTAGGGTTCTTGGACTTGATCCCTTTCTACTTGATGTCTTGAGCGGATTCATCGGTCGTGCAGCAGCTTGATCGAGTGTACGCCGTCGATCACATAAGAACTCACGCTTTCTTACTGTCCCTCAAGTTGGCTGATTTCACCTCCCGCTTGGTCGTTTGGTTCCTGGAACATTGTGAGTAGCTAGTGAGGTATCTTGTATTGTTCAGCTACTTTGGCTCTCAATCATGTCAAACGCTGGTTGTGATGATGGAAGTCTCAACTGTTGCCAAATGGACGTAGCATTGGTCCCAGCGTTCCGGCAGCCACTTCCGGCCCGGAAGACTTCCCTCCGCCGATGCTCTCCTTCAGGCCAGTACACCGTACAACGTGATGTACATTGGGCGCTATTCTCATCTCGGTTTCGAAAATCAATCGCATTGCAACCTCATATTCTCTATTTAATCTATTCGGGACGCCGTTCCCTCGATGAGTTTGGTCAAATATAGCCTTTACCACCGCCGCCTGCAGAACACATTGCATGACTCCCGGAGCTCTCAGGGCAGGAGCCAAAGATGGACCATAAGGAGAGGAGCAGCTAGTTCCGTCATTGCCCTTCAGCTGACAGGTTTTTGGAATTGAATGCAACGTGAGTAAAAGCCTCTTTGATCCTCCTTGAGTATATAACCATACACACTTGGCATCCACTTCAGTCGTTCGCCAAGCTGTCAACAAATCTTGTTGCAACCACCAAAGACTTAGTTCGCGTTCGTTTTTACTCTTTCCAGATGAACTTGATACCTGTCGTGGCCACCGGCCTATCAGCAGTCTTGCTCGCTAGTCCCGTGGTAGCGCAGACTACAGCACCAGCTTGGGGACAATGTAAGTCATGATAGACTCACCTGGTTATGCTGGAGTCAGATCTAACGCGGTCACAGGTGGCGGCAGTGGCTGGACTGGAGCTACAAGCTGCACTAGCGGCTATACCTGCTCAGTTCTTAAGTTGGTCTATCATCACAACAATCCAAACCATCCACTGACTGTTAAGACAGCCCCTACTACTCCCAATGTATTCCAGGATCCAGCACTCCCACAACCTCATCCAGCAGACCTGTTTCAAGCTCCACTACCCCTATCTCAACAGGCACTAATACCCGCACGACTTCTCGCGCAACTACCACTCTTGTGACCGTGACCACCACGGCTGCAGGTGGCGGCGGCTCTGTTCCTACAACTCTCGTCTCTGGATGGTCCTGGATTCGCGCCGTGGCCTCGCCTAACTTCCACAGCTACCTCCAGGCCAAGCCCACTGGCACGCCCAGCAAAGCCTACCTCGATTCACCCAGCAGCGCGGGTCAGTTCAAAGTAGAGGACGGCCAACTCGTTCATCTGACTGGATCATCGCCGCTTTACCTCAATGTCGAGAACCCGACAGACAAGACGCAGAGAAAGCTAGAGACGTGGTTTAGTGCAAGCAAAGGCACATATGGAACTTTTGCCTTCCAGGGCGATACGCTAACGTGGAGCACACCCGACATTAGCAGACCCAATGTGGCTGCATGGCTTGTTTGCGAGAATCAGGAGGTGTTCATTAACACGGGGGCATACTTGTATCAGACGCCCGTTGGTTGTTCTGACCAGACTGTGAGTGAAACCCTCGACTCTTGCAAGATAGTGCTAGGAAACTAATCAGAATTAGATTCATTCCTACGGAGGTTCGACCGCAGACCTCTAGTATTACCAAGATATGTCTATCAAGTAGAAAGCTTGATCATTCAAATTCATTATCCCCCGTGTAGTGCCTCAACAAGCCACACCACAACTACTCCATGCTCTCTTCCATCCCCCTCTTGTCCCCGGGGTTTTTCATCACCATGGTAGTCTCCAAGGTGAACTTGTGCGGTCCCACATAGCTCTGTGAGTTGCTTCCATCTGCGAGTGTTGTGTCCTTGAAGTACGACTCGTCGAGGTGTATTCCGCCCAGCAACAAAGCATGACTAGTAAAAGCCCACCAAACACTGAAATGCATCCCTGTCCCCATCGGTTCCAGACTCCATGTGATAGAGTTGATGTCAGTGCAGACCACCTTGTCGACCGTTGGCACTTTAGGGCCAGTGTCCGTGTTGATGGTGCAGTTAGCAAAGTCGGCCCCAGGGGTGGGCTGGACGGAAAATATCACACTGTTTCGGTTTGCGTTAGCAATGAGTTTTGTAATGACATGTCCCTCGCCGTCCCGTAGTCTGGCTTACAAGTTTCTTGTACTTGGTGGAAGACTTCCCGCGAAGAACCTGTCCACTTCGAAGACTGCTGCAGTACGTGCGGAGTGTTTAGCCGGAGTAGAAGGGGCACAAAGTGCCAAGTGGCAGAGAAGAGCCAGACTTGCAAGATACCGCATGTTGAAGAGAACGAGATGATCTAGTGGTATGGATTAATTTCGACTCATCTCTCTCGGGAATTTTGGTTGAAATAGCGAGGAATCGTCCTTATTTATGCCGAAGACGCTCGGTCTCGACCCCTTGTCTCTAGTCACACTGAGCAAAATTCGACAATCCCGATAACCTCAAAGGATTACCCGAATATTCAGCCGCTTTTGGATACTCGAATGAGGCTCTAAAAAAAAAATCCATCTCGTACCCAGAATCCAATATAATACCTGAAATAGACACTTCCTTGTGACAAACGGGTCATACCTAGAGAAGCAAACATCGACCATGCTACGTTATACGAGAGAACTGAGGGCTTTGTGTAACAAAGCATACGACTTTTGATTCCTACCAATCGGCTCCTCATCCGTGTGAGCGCCCAAGCCATGCAGATTTCTTCAATTCCAAGTGTAGCAGCAACATGAACACGCAAAAAGTCATCTATCATGAACAAACAAAGTTGGTATCCCATTAACTTTTGACTAACCATCCGTCTAAACGCTAATCGTACGGAAAACACTGAACTCGTCACCGGTAGCCATCAAGCTGCCAGTGATCTGGGGATGCCAGTGGAGCTCCTTGACGTTGGACAAGTAGTGGACGAACAACAGCTGAGGCGGCACGTCCTTGACGCCGCCGGTATCCTTGCTCTCTTCGTCGTCCAGCTCGACAGCCAGGTCCCACAGGGTGACGGTGTTGTCGCCCGCCGCAACAGCAATGATACTGTCGTCTGTGGGGTGCCACTCGATACTCGTGACCTGCTCCTTGTGGTAGTTGAAGCTGGCAATCGGCGAGGGCTTGTCGGCAGCAGAGGTAGAGCTCTGCTTCCACTGGCGCAGATCCCAGACGGCGAATTCGCCGTCATCGGCGCCAGACGCAAGCAGATGCGTCGTGAGGGGTGACCACGACATGACGTTGACATCGTGGTTGCTGACCTGCATTGAAAGCGCGGGCTTTCTGCTCTTGCTACGGACGTCCCAAACGCGGATTGTGCCGTCGCTTGAGGCGGATGAGAAGACAGACTGTTCCGAGGGACTCCATTGAATTTCCTCAACGCTGCTGGTGTGACCCTGGAATGGCCGGGTGTCGGTGACGAAACCACCGCCGTCGGTGCGAGTTGTGACGTAAATGAGACCATCGTTGTCACCAGTGAGGAGCTTTCCACTGGGAACAAGGGGGGACCAGTCAAGAGCATAACCCTCTGCTTTGTGGGCGCGAATGGTCGACACTGGCTTGTTTTGCTGTGCGGAGATGACGGTGCCCGGGTTATCGAAGGAGTAGATGTGAGGAGTAATGTCGTGAATGAAGATGTTGGATGACTCGGTCATGGTGGCTGTGAGAGTGGTAGGAGGTCTGGAAGCATCTTGCGAGGGGATCTGGTGGGCGCGGATTCGGTTCGTAGTCGAGTTCAGGGGGATCGCCTTGTGCTCAAGAATGGGCTCGGCGTCCTCATCGCCATCTTCGTCGTCGTCATCAGAGTCCTCGTCGTCCTTCTCCGTACGGCTCAGACCGCTGAATTTCATAACCATCAGCTGGTTCTCGCCAGCCCTGGCGTTCTCTGCTTGTGTACCAGCCACGGTGTACATGGTGGCGGGGTAGACCTTGCGGTTGTCACCAAGGCTGTCGCGGAGGATATCGAAAGACAGACAGGGCCATGGCGTGCTCAGGTTATGCAGCATCTCGTAGGTAGACACGTCGGGCGCGAGTGTCTGTCCCGCTTCAAGCTTGTTTCGTCCGACGATGAAAGTGCCCTGGTCGACGGCAGCTAAACCGGTCAGCTAAGTTCTGAGTCGCGGGACCGTTGCGATCATACCTTCCTTCTCCTCAGCCTCCCTCTCTGCGTCAGGGCGTCCGTCAACACCGGCCTCCATAATTTCGTCCTCCTCGAACTCATCCTCGAATTCGTCCTCGAACTCGCCCATGTCGGGGGCCTTCTCGTCAATCTCCATACCCTCAGGGCGATCACCACCCTTGAGGGGGGCGTCCCCCATTTCGACATCAGCAGAGCGTTTCGACATGATTCTTGGCCGTCTTCAGAAAATAAATGGGAAGTGGTGGTCGGGATTCTGCTCTTCTCGAGGCCGGACTGCGACCTGCAAAATCCTAGTGCTGCAGAAAAAAAAATTAAGGCCCCGCGATTTGTGGCGGAAACGGTACCCCGCGTGGCGGTGTTCTACCGTAGAATGGATCAGTTGCAGGGGCCGTTTAAGTGTGGCTTCACTCGAAATCAGAAGCACGTGACCTCGTACGTCCGTCGCGTCACCCGCCATTCCACAGCTTCCAGGCGCATCCCCGTCCCGTCGGTGTTGATTGCCCCGCCAGGTCGAATGAGACCTTGAACACCAGACGAATTCAGGCTTAATTGTCGTTCGCACTCCGACCTGGCGATTTGCGCCAACGTCGTTCCCCTCGAAGATGCTTCCTAGAGGATCACCGGCTCAATGGCGCCGCAGCAGAACACCTTCGCTGTCATTCCAGACGCCCCCGGGCGCGTCGGTGGCCCCGCGAACAGGCCGCCGATGACATCGAAGCAGGCTCAGAAGCTATACAAGCAGGCGAACAAGGAACCGAAACGATCTAAGGCCGAACAACGGAAATGGGAGAAGGAGAAACAAGAGGAGATTCGCAAGGAGCTAGAAAAGGAGCGCGCGGCAGTCAAGGCCAAGGCAGCGAGAGAACGAAAAAAGGCCAAGGAAGAGGAGGCCCGAGAGAACAGGCGAAGGGCTGGGCAGCCTCTATTTGACTGTCGACCAAGTCAAGACACGATCGCGCGTTTCGTACGAGGAAATGGTACGCACAAGAAGAGAGATTCGTCTGGAGAACCGATACCAAAACCCGAGACTGCCTCTGCCGCCTTGGCCGATATCGAGCCGGATACCTTAGCGTCAACCGCGGCTTCCAAGCCTCCTCTTCAAATTGAGTCATCAGAAGAGACCAAACCCTCAATTGCCTCCATGGCACCACCTCCTCGTCCCACACAGATAACAAAGTCGGCCATGTCACCTGCTCAAGGCGCAACTACGAGTGAAAGACAACCTTCGGCTGAAGGAGTCGCGCCGAAACCAACAGACAAAGATGCTCTCACACGACAGCTCCTGAAGCCGCTATTCACGGCGCCAGAAAAGGCACCAGCATTAATGGCTTCCATGGGACCTCCTCCACGACCTGCTGTGAAGGCCAAATCAAGGCCTTTCATGATGCCGAAAGCGGCATTACCAACCCATCAGCCACCTCGGCACAAGATATTCAAGCAAAAGCCGTCTCCCCAGCCTTCTGTCCAGCTCAAAACAGAGGTCTCACTGCCAAAAGAGTTGTCATACCCGAAGTCTGCACTGCCAAAGTCATCAACGGCGATACCTTCCCCTCCAGTACCATCACAGAAGCCCAGAATAGAGGCTGTAGGAGACAAAGCGCCGACGGACATATCCATACCGACGATTGCACCGTCACCAGGAGTCCAATCGAAACAAATGCTACCGCCACCAAGGCCGTCAATATCGCAGATGCCTCCACCAAGCACACAAGCAATCGTGCAAGATTGTTTTGATGACTTCTTCCCAACAGCCTCACAACTCGCTGTAGAGCTTGAAGAGGATTTCGATGGAGTTCAGAATGCACTGCCTTCACGTCTGAGTGCTCCAATACCAAGCAATGCTCCTGCTCAGGGGTCTGCCGGACCTTTCAGTCGACCCAAGGACACAAGGAGCCTGGCGAATGAAAGAAACTTGCCACCAGAAAAGAGCAAATTCTCGGCCATACAAGACCATGGAAGCAACTTGGGTTCGTGGTATAAACAGCTAGCCAGCCCAGGGACACAAGTCTGTGCAACGCAACCACCAACCTCTATTACGAACAAACCCCAAACCCTACATGGGCTGGCTCCAAAGGAACAGATACAGAAACCACAGCGGCAGAAACATACGATGCCTCGAGCGGTTTTTGGCCCAAAATCGAACACACATGGTGCGATTGCAGCAGCACACAGTACGCCTCTAGTCAAGCGGCATGTTGCTCCGCCACTTCTTGCGCCCAACCGGTTTCCAAATCGTGGCACCCTTCAGGAAATCAGCAGCAACCACCAACCTGCACCAAAACCTCCAGTTGCAAAAGCTTTGCCTGTTCTTGACGACTTTTTCCCCTTGATCTGCACTCAGGACCTGATGATGTCCTCTCAGGAGGTGCTGGATATAGAGTCCCCAGCCAAAGCAATGACACAGTTATCGTCAGGGGGACCGGTAACAAACCCTGCCTCGCCACTCTTCGAGATGGATCTGGGGTCGATAGATTGGGATGATGACTTGGATGATTTTTGATTTGATACATGCATACACGGAAAGGATGACATAAACGGGCACAAGGTTCAGACCGGAGCATCACAGCGCGTCAACGATTAGCAATAGGAAGGCATTATACCCACAAAGACGCAAGAGCATGAGCATGTCGGTTGCTTCATTAGTAGACAAGAATTTTCCTCTTTTCGTTAGTAGCAGCGACCAAACCCAAGAGAGAGGTTACGAACGATGATTACTTCGAGCAACTGAATAATATTATTCACGAGAAGACTCTATACAGGGGATTGTTTGCGCTCCCTGCCGCTAAAACTATGTGCTCGTGTCCTTGATCATGTACAGCGCGTGCCGCTACAAGGAAAATCATCCGCTGAGAGACCTTGTCCCTCTCACTGGACTCCTCGAATATCAAGCCCCTCAATTGAAGGGAGAAAGCAAGCCTATACCGTGACCATGGGAATCTCTGACCGATCATGCGATGCCGTCCCACCCCCAAACGCCGAGCTAATGCCATCCATGTAACCGGATGACGCCAATTCTTATTCGTCTCTTTAAAAGACTTACTTTGCGTCATTCTATGCCGCAGCTCAAAGGTAGATTCCAACCCAGGCTGTCTTGTTCGTAGCCTGTGTCTCGCAACCATCGACTGCACAGGTGAGTTTGCTTTCATCGTCGCGCCCAAATCCAGTATTCGGGCGCTTAGCTACCGGTTTGCGATTCTCGTAGCAGTCTTCGCAGTAAACCTGGTACAGCATCAGTAAAGTGAGTGGAACGCGTGTGATCTTGATCCTTACATGTCCGCAACCCTTCAAAGCCCAGAAGTGATGTTCGCTTCGCTGGCGCTTGCTGCCCTTCCGCGCAGGTTGCTTCTCATTGACAGGCACGTCAGGGTCGTAAGCCAGCTCTTCGTTGCATGCGGGACATATCACGACCAAATCAGAGGCGGTGTCTCTCGTATATCCGGGTCTAGGGGGAGGTGGAGCTTGGTGGACTGGCTTAGGTGATTCGGCGCGTTGATCAAAAGCACCGTGCTCGTATTGAAGTTGGATATTCCCAAGGGGATTGTTCAGGTCTCCCCCTTGATTGATACGATTGTGCAACATGCCGAGCAGCTGTACCTCGTCCTCAGGACCAGGGAAGAGCCTGAAAGGATACAGATGGCGCCTTAATCCAGCTGCTAGCCCACTGAATGCACTTCCGTTCGGGTTCAACATGAATCCGACCGGCTGTCGACTGCGATCGCGCTGACGAGGGGGGTGTGGAGGCGGCGGTACATGCGTACGCCTTCGCGGAACTTCGGGCGAGTCGTCGGTAAGATCGATGACGGGTGGCGCATTGCCGGCGAGAATGCTACTGTCACTCCGCGAGAAAGACGGCGGGTTCCTGCCTTGAGAATGTTGTCTTCTGGGATTCGTCGGAGGTCGAGGCGCATGTCTCTGGATAGGGCTGTCGGGTTCGTTGGTTAAGTCGATGACATCAGCAGGGCCGTTTTGGTTGTTTTGAGGTCTCCTCTCGTTTCTCCCCTGTTCGAAGTACAGCTCCAGGTCCACAAGAACATCGCCTGAGCCATTGTGACGGGCCGCGCCGCCATCACGTTGGCCTCGCATGCCTTCATCTCGGCCACCGGGGGGTGGCATCCTTTGTTCGCGAAGCTGTGGCAACTGATCCATTTCGGCGAGGAGCGCAAGCTCTAGTTCGTCGGCAAGATCGGGAGAGAAAGGGTCCGAGTCGTTAAATAGCGGATCGTGAGGGTCAATCTCGAGTGACATCAAGGACTCTGAATCGGACTCTGAAGGCTGTGATTGTGATTGTGATTCAGACTCGGGGTCCCAGTCCACCTGCGCATCGGCTTCGGAGTCGAATATGCTCGAACGATGATCACCCACGTCGGAGGAGGATTCGGGAATGTAGCCTTGGTAGGCGGCCTCGATGTCGCTATCGTCGTAAATTTCTTGCTCGGGTAAGAGAGACGCTACCGAGGGCGAACTTGGAATAATTGTAGAGAGCCGAGTCGGAGAAGATGCAGTCGATGGAGAAGCTGATATTGAGGGAGAAAGCGGAATCGGAGAGAGCCGAGCCGAAGAAGACGTCGTCGATGGAGAAGATGGTGGAGAAACAGAGCTCATATTATGTTTATCGGGCCAATATGGGTTGGCGCTGGAGAAATAATTAGCTTAAGTCCGGCAGCTCCAGTCAGCAAGTTGCTACGCACAAACCGTCTGTTCCTCGGGTAGGTGTCTTGCGTGCGGGAGGAGAATCGTAGTCGTGAACGTCGGGTCGTGTCGGGAGACGGCAAGTAGAAGTGAATCTCCTACGACGGGCACAAAGGTGAAGCGACCATCCCGTGGAAGCTGTTGGTGTGGTCGAGATGTGGAAGAAGGAAGAAAATCCGAGGGCGCTTCAGAGCACAAGGAAGAGGCGAGGTCCTTGGACTTGCCCGTCGTGGTTGTGGTGTTGTTAGGTTGGTGGCGGTTAAAGGTTAAGTGCGGGTCTAGGCCATTCAGCGGAAAGAGCGACGGATGGTTTGGCGCTTCAGCCTTAGATAAGCTCGCACAGCGCAGGCCCTGCAGGGGGCAATACCGCCGATAAGGCAGGAGCCCCTCTGGACTTTCAGGGTAAGGTGAGGTAATTGCGGCGGAATATTTGCTAAGCGACGGTGCCCTGCATTCCCCATTGTCTCCATGCAAGCACGCAAGGTAGGTAAGGTAGATGGTAATTAAGTCCCTAGGTAGAATGATTATGTCATAGTCCCGAAGAGGGACAGGCACGTCGCGATGCACCTTCGCCTCAGTACAATGTGAAAAAGCAACTGCGCATGATACCTCAAGGCATCTTCAACAGGATTCAGTAAGTCTTCCACTTGACTGATATCGGGATCCCGATGGTGTTTTTTTTCTGTTCCTTCGCGCTTTTCTTACAAGATCAGAGTACTTCATACCTTGTGAGCCCAAGACTTCGGATATCATTTTAGATGAACTCTCCTGTCCTCATTACTTATAATACAAATCGCGAGACATGCATGTCTGCTTATTCCTGCTTGAGTCCAAACACTGAAACAACGCCCTCCTCGTTGACGGAAACCAACTGCTTGGCCCCAACACCCCACTGGACCGACAATGCAGCCACCGACGTTCTGAGGGGCTCTGACCATTTCTTGGAGCTCTTGGTGTACTGTTGGACAGTAATGCCGCCGGCACCCGCGGTTGCCAGGAACTGTCCAGTGTAGTCCCAAGCAAGTGACTGCACTGGCCCCCCGGTCTCTAGTGTCTTGACCTTTGCAGCATCTCCCTCCTTGCGCAAATCGAAGATTGTTACTGAGCTCTGGCCCTTGGCTGTCGCTGCAAGCCAGAAGCCGTTTTCTGAGAAGGTCAGCGCCTCGACAGGCGCGCCGAGTTCGAATGCAGCCGCAACCTCCAACGTCGTTGTCATGAAGAGCTTGATTTCGCCTGTAACGGATCCGGCTGCGAAGAGGTGTCCATCGGGGTGGAAAGCAGAGGATGTGAGGGCTGCGCAGGTTAGTAGGTGTTATAGGAGTACTGGGGGGCTTCGGTAGCTTACCAGAGTCGGCGTAGGCACGGCTGATCTTCTTGAGGGTGTTGAGATCGTACAAGACAATGCTCTTGTCCGAGCCAACGGATGCGAGGAGGTCGCCGGTAGGGTGAAGGCTCAAGGATGTTGCGGGGCCTGCGTGTTCAGAAATTGACGCAACTTCGCTACCACTCTCGAAGACCTTCACTGATCCCTTGCTCGTGGCAAAGATGAGCTTGCTACCAGTCCAAACAGAGTCAACGACCGGCTCGTTGACCGCGACTTGGCGTTCGACCTGGTCTGCCTCAATAGAGTATATCGCAGCATCTCCTGAACGACCACTGATGGCCGCATAGCTTCCTTCGGTGGCCAGCGACGAGGCATTCGAAACCGGTGTTGAAGTGGATGCCACAGTGGTCAACAAGGCGACCTCTTCGGACGTAGCCCAGCCCTCGGGGACCGGACGCTTCTTGCGGCTCTTGGAGAGTCTGTGACTCGTTAGTGAACCATTCTAGAGTTGTCCATGCCTATGCCTTCTGAAGACTGACTCTTGGTGCTTGGCGTTGACTTTGTCAATCCATTCCTCCGGAAGACCTTCGGCCGAATCAATGGCCATAGCATCCCCATTTGTGGCTCCAGCGCTGACGCTGACCTTGGAAAGCGCCTCTCTAGCCTCATCTCGCTCCTTGGACAGACGCGCAATCACTCTGACCGCGGCATCATGTTGGTACAATGCTGTGGCTAGCTCCTCCCGTGTCCTCGCAAGCTGTTCTTTCAGGTTGAATGTCTCGAGAGCGAGCGCATCCCACTCATTCTGGAATGTCGCAAGCAAGGCCGGAATCGAAGTGAGCGTCGGGGGTCGCGGTCGGACAACGTGAGACTGTGTCAAAGGAAGAAGGTCCTCGATCGTCAGGGCTTCGCCAGTGACAGGTTCGGTTCCATTCTCCTCGATGTATTTCTCGATCAATCGTTTCTCGAAGACGGTGCCTAGTTACAGTCAGCATTTTGGGGGTTGACGCGACCAGGCGCAAAATACGTACCAGACTTCTTTGAGGCAACGGGCTCCTGAGGAGCTTCTCCGGAAACTGAGAAAGCAGTCAGCAATTGCGCAAGATACTCCCGAGGATTTAAACCTACTGGCGCACAGCATTGTCTCGAATGTCGCGATATGAGCCGTCTCAAAGTTCGTCCGCGTCAACTTTTCCCTTCCAAAACAAAACTTCAGCCTTGCTGCATCTGCAGTTCCAAGGTACCTTAGGGTGGGTCTTGCTTCGTAGCTGGTGAGCACGAGCCACTTCATCACGTGTGGCTGGTTCTGGAGGAATGTCCCGTCATCGGCGCCTCCCGTCCTGGCTTATCTTATCTCTATCTTATCGAACCATGAAGTCTCGCCGGGCTGCGGTCTACCTCACCAAGCACCTTCCACTGTCTAAAATGCAGAGGGTGCCCTTAGTGCGCGCGATATTAAAGACTACGCAGGTCATGGACGGTTACTTACTCATCGCTTCATCGTAATTCAAAATCACACAAAGTGCAATTCGTAGTTCATTATGGCTTCTCTACCTGACGTCAACAGTCTTAACTCCCTCCCCGTGGAGCAACAGACCAAGGTCCTAGATGCGCTCTTCGAGCCGAGCCCCGCGATTCACGCCTTTCTGCTGCCCTCTATTTCCACAACATCTTTCCAGTCTTACGACGAGTTCATCAATCAAGCTCAAAAGATATTCGAGGCTCTTGCGGCGGACCCTACACAAAAGGCTCAGCTCCACTCAATCATCGGCTCACACCCGCGTCTCGGGGCCAAGAAGGTTGAGAGTGCTCAGTCCGCCGCAGAGCAAGCACAGCTCCAGAGCGGAGACGCCGCAGAGCTGGCTGCGCTGAACGCCGAGTACGAGGAAAAGTTCCCAGGCCTGCGTTACGTGGTATTCGTCAACGGTCGAGGTCGGCCGGAAATTATGGAAAACATGCGTGCTCGTATCTCCCGTGCTGACTTGGCTCTTGAGGAACTCGCTGCCATACAGGCAAGTCGCGCCATTGAACCTATATCCTAGAGACATTCTTTTAATAAGACAGTAGGCAATGTGTGATATTGCCAAAGATCGTGCCGCTAAGCTCCTGGCTGCTTCGGTCTGAACGGTTCAGAGATATCTCAGAGACATTTTTTCGATCAAACAATCGGAGTCATTTCCTAGAAAAAGAATTTCCAATCCCCGTTTAAGCCTGTAGCACAACCAAATCTAGCTTGCCTGTGAGAAACTATTCAACACTTCCCTCAACCCGATCACAGCTTCGCGTTCTCGTCCAGCAGTCTCAAAAGTCTGCCAACACGCTCTGCCTCACGGTAGCCACTGACGACTGCACCAGCCACGCTTCCACGGTTTTCCATCTCTGTGTGCTCACCGGCAAATCCGAGTCTTCCATCCCACACAGGTCTGCTCAGCTCCTTGAAGTCAAGTGGGCTTCGCTCCCCATTCTCTGAAATAATTGACGGCGTGGTCGTGGCACCGCGGGAGAACTCGTCTGTCAACCAGTTGGTCATGTTGGTCTCGACCGGCTCCGCGGGCTCGGATGATGGCTTAAAGCGAGAGACGAGGAACTGGTGGTAGGCAGCCGCAACTTCCTTCTGGTCGAAGCGGAGCAATGCGGTAGCAGGAGTTTCGGAAAGGTACGTCAGCAGAGTCGGACTAGGGCCAGGGAGAGACGGCCCAGCGAAGTTGGCGCAAACCAGAGTCGACGCCTCGAAGATTTCGGCGGGGTAAGAGCTCTCGGTCACGGGCTTTGTAGATGTGGGCAAGAAAGTGTAGGATCCTGCCTTGTCGGCCTCGGGCCACCAAGCTGTCTGGTACTGAAGTAGCAACTTCTCCAAGACACCGACGTGGGTGCCCTTGATTACCTCCTGTAGGCGCGGCGGCAGCGCAGGGTTGAAGGTGCTATCGGGCAGAGTCTTGAGGGTACCGAGCGGGATGGTAGAAATGGCCGTCTTTGCCGTGAACTTATTGCCATTGGCATCGACAATGACAACTCCGTCTTGGCTCTGTGAGATTCCAGTAATCTTTGTGCTCAGCTTCACTTCAGTGCCCTTGGCCTTGGCGTCATCAAGGACCTGATTGACCAGAGACTCATAGCCTCCCTCGGGGGCGGCGTCAGAGCCACCAAATGAGATGGTAGTCTCCCATCCAGCCCACTTCAGAGAAGCTTTCTCGAGCTTAAGTCCAAGAGGAATCTCGAGGGAGCGAGCGAGGGCAGCTGCCAGCTCCTTCTGAGATGAACCTGATGCGGGTTGCGTCGCTACCTGCGTCGGGTCGGCAGGGCTGGTTTGGTTGACGTCTGAGGAAGGGTCAGGGGATGCAGAAGCTGAGAAAAGAGCCGAGTTAGCGGCCAGAAGGGCGGATGCGAGCGATGTAGATGGAGAGGGCGCTGGGTGAGGGAGCTTCAATGATGCCTGAGCGGCGCCAAGTGATGCCCGCAGGCTATCGGCGTTGGAACTTGAGAGACGGCCTGATCTTGGTCAATAAAGACATTGCGGTACGGGTCAGAGTCTCACGCACCAGCTGGGCCGTAAATCACACCCTCAGCAGCTTTGGGCAAGTGAGCGGCCTACTCCATCTCATTAGCTTCTTATCTCTATTACTCAACAACGTCCACGTCAAACTCACAACGCCAAAGTCTTGAGCAATGTATCTCGCGGGGTTTCCTTCTTTGTAGCCATGGATCCAGCTACATCCAACATCAATCTTGGCATCTCCCTTCACCCACGTACTCGCGCGTCCTCCGATTCTGTCTCTAGCCTCAAGTACCAACACTTTGCGGCCCTTGCTGGCAAGCTCCCGGGCGGCAACGGCGCCAGACCAGCCGGCTCCGATCACGATTGTGTCCAAAAGTTGATTGCTCATTGTTCCAGAATTGCGTCTAAACATGTGCTTGGATTTGAAAGTTGGACAAAATGCTGAGCAATGGGCTTGACAATGTCGTGCTTCAGTTTCCCTGGTTAAATCACCCCGCCCCCAGTGTCCCCGCCGTCGTCCCCAGGCCCAACGTCACGGCGGGGGCCCGGGAAGATGTCCGACCGGGCCGACCATCGGAACTGGTGGGGATTTCTTCTGCATTGATTCCATTGTAACACCGAGAATTGCTCTCATTCTCTGTAGCATCCCGCTATCAATACAAAATCACTCGATACGAAGAACCTTCGACACGGATCACATCTTTCAGCCTGAATCCAATGTGAGTTCCTTTTACTCTCCGGACCTTCGGATGTCGTAATTCCGGGCGGAATCATGGACGGAATTGAAGGCAGCTTGAGGCATAGGCTTCCGGCAGGCAAGTATTGCCTCTGAGTAAGTCTTTTTTTCTTCTTATTCACTTTCATCTATATCAAGGCTGGGGCTGTGACTCGACGCCTGCTTTACGGCGCCGTATCCAATAGCGTATGATTCCCGATCCTCTCTTTTCCTGTCAGGCCAACAATGACAGTGAGTGACCTGCTTACGGCGCTCATCCCATATGTCCTTAGACAGGGCCAATTGGCCATCCCGTGGCCTCGGGAGACTTGGTCGAAAAGATGCTCCTCGAATGTCGCCTACGCATTGATAGGCCAAGTCTGATTTTTGCTGCTTTTTTTTCTTTTCCACCCCAGTCCGCCCATTCCGGTGCTAATAGCTGCTTTGCTTTTGTCTTGGATTTGAAATTCGACCAAGTCGGTTCTCCTTCACCCGTCATCCAACGGCACTACCTGCCGCCGACCCAAGAAATACCATCCAGCTCATCGAGATACTCTTCGTAGGAGTTGCCATCGTCGTCAGTCTCACCAGTCTGTGCAGATCCTCCGAAAATGGCACCAAAGTCAGAGTACACATCTTCCAAATCGTCGTCATCGGCCCATGCGTAGGAACACTCATGTGTTGATGTGGGAAACGCCAGCAGCCCGTCATCCTCCATTTCATCCAGCATTGTGCTTGAAGGAGCTAGGACCGGCGACCGGGTTGGGTTTAATCTCGGCGATATAGGTTGTGTTCGAGTTGATTGAGGCGTCCATGGAGGCGATGGCTTTCTCTGCGCCTGGGCGGACAGGGCATTCGTTGGATGAGGAGTGCCTGGCGAGATTCCGGGCCGCATCAGAACAACCCTTGCTGGCGGCGGTTGCTGTCGGTGTTCTGGGTGTGCTGGCGATTGTGCAACAAACCTAGCTCCTGTGGCTAGTTGCTGGCCGTGGTGAAGCACAGCCGCATTGGCAGCCGTCACGGCGATACCGATATCACCCCGCTGTGTCGCCTCATTTCGGACACGTAGCCGAATCCTATTGAGTACTGCCGCTCTCAGCATGATGGAGCTCTCTCGAAGTAGGCCCTGTTTGCCGACATCGGGCGAGGTGGCTACAGCAGCCAGCTTCACGAAACGCTTGTCGCCCAGGGGACCGGCTTCACGGTTGATGATATGTGTCGCGGGTAATGAGTACGGCTGAGAAAGTCGACTTGTTATGAGATGAAGCCTCAAGCGACGCTTTTTACAACTCAGCCCGGCTGTGTGTGGGCCGTCAACATCGGACTCGGCTCTAGCACGCTTCACTCTGTTGAAAGATGAGGGTTGGCTCGAGAAGACGAAGTTGGCCTTCTCCTGGCTGGTAGGGAAGACGAAAGGTGTTACCATCGGCGGATTTGTCGGTGAAGAGGTGATTGGGTTCGTCTGGGCAGTTTCAGTGGATGTTGTTGTAAATATTTTTGATCCATGCTCCGGGCCACGGGCACTCGTGGTAACCAAGGTAGCTCTGCGGATTGAAGCTGGAGGGCAGTTGGACTCATGCTTAGCACATCGTCTCAAAGCCTGGGGCGAGAAGAGATGGGAGTCGATGTTGATACCGTCGTCGTCTTCGCAAGCTGAAGCTCCGAGGCGCCATGTCTTGAAGGGTTCCAACGCACTGCGGTTCAAAGAACCGACTTCAACCACCATCGTTATCTTGTTGTCTCTACTGATAACTCTCGTTCGGATGGAAGGAGACGACCACTCGCTTCTTCCGGGTGACTGAGTCGCGTTGGTAGAAAACAATGCTCGGAGAGCCGGTTCATATCCCACGGCCACTCCCACGCCCGATCTAACTACCGTCCGCTACCAACATGGAGGCCGGGTGACGTGACCCTACAGAGAATTAACAAAGTCCGTCGAAAGGTTAAAGCGGCATAAGAAAAGAATAAGATGCAAGAGTGGAGCAACCAAGGTAGATGACGAGAAAAGGGCCCTTACGCTAAGTGCGAGCGACCCTCCTAGCAGGATGCGTGACTGAGAGTGGGGAGAGCGGGAAAGGCGAAAAGGCTGATGCCGTCCGCAGCTGCAAGACAAGCACGAGACCCCGTCTTCTATTTATTGCTCTGCTCCGTACGTACTCCGTACACGTTAACCGTCAGACGGGTTCTCAGGTGAGGGCATAGAAAGCGGGGAGAGAGAGGCACAGCGCGAGAAGGGAGATCAGCACAAACCGACAGGGCGGAACCGCCCATTCGAACATTGAACGTGACTAGCTCGTGTTCCACCCCCCTTCTCCTCTCTTTTTGAAAGCCCGGGAACTGCGCTACCCATTGACAGGACGGGCTAAGAAAAACGAAAAGTCGTAGTTGACTGATGTGTGGGCGTGTGAGGGAGAGGCGACAGGGGTCGCGGAGGTAGGAATGGGCAGAGACCTGGGGAAAGCTGGCAAGGGGCGAATGAGAGGGTCGGGATGCGCCGGTCACCCCCGGTCCTGCACCAACCCCGGTCTGGGGTCGAGGGGGGAAGATGCGAGTGACATGGGCGGGAAATTTGGGGCGTTTTCAGTCTTCAGGCAAATGGACGGACATGCGTTGGGTACGGAGTAGTTGTATTTGTTTGAGTAAAGTACGGATAAGCATGCTGTGTAGCGTGGTATACAGGGGCAAAAGAAGTATGACTACTAGGTATGTATAACATAGAGAGATGCTCGTGATTCTTCCGTGGCTTTATTGCATCCGTGTTTGAAGCGCGTCAAGGTTTATCACAACCAGGGTACTCTGGACACTAAGAAGACTATGCTCAACTATTAAGAATGGTTCAGGAATCGAGCTGCTATTTTACGCACTTGCTGTGCATTGAAAAAGCAATCCCGACCTGGGATTAGAGGTCAAGTCCGTACGGCTAGATACTACTCTGCACAGGGAGGCAGAGACATGTTTTCCTGCACCCCGGACCGGGTGGTTTTGTC